CTCTTTGGGTGTAAAAGGTTGCAGACCCCTGTACTAACCGCTGGTTGCTCTCCGATGCGTCCATCAGAGTGTGAATGTGTAAGAATGTTAGTTAGGTTGCACTGAAAACCTAGAAAAGTGCTTGTGTGAATGGGTGTGATTTGTTGAATGAACAAGTTGTATAAAGCGCTTTGAGTGCTCAGAGTAGAAAAGTGCAATATTAGAACCATTTACCATTTGTTAACCTAATGTGGTAATACCTCATAATCAGAAAGTGTGCCGAGTATAAGCACATCCTCTTTTCTTAAAGCTCGTCCTGTGTCAAACCTTTTTGGCAAGTTTGTTTCTTTTAAATTCCTTTAAAGTCATTTTCTTGCTAACAGTTACGATTAAAAGTCTTTATTTTTTAATATTTTTATTTTAAAAAAGATTTTATTAAAACTGCAAAAAATAAAACATTATAAATAATGAATTAAAAGTATAATACATGTGTAAAATGAGCCTGCTTTAATATGCTGTGCATTATGACCCAGGGTCAGATAATAAGATAGCACGGCTCACCTACAGTCAGGGACAATCTGTTGAAGAACCTGTTACTTTGGTGTTCATCGGTGCTTTCTGCTCCACACCAGTATGTCCCACTGTCGTCCACTGTCACTTCTCTCACTGTCACGGTGATATTTTTCTTTTTTTTATTGTCATTCATCCAAAACCTCTTGTTCCCATTGGGATCTCTGGTGCTTGCTAAAGGTTCACATATAGATGGTTCTTCTCCCTTACAGATAAATTTTGTCCAATTTGAGACAGTCTGGTTATATTTACACCAGTATGTGAAGTTCTCTCCAACAGCTGGTGATCTTGTGAAGCTCTTAATATCTGTGGAAAACAGAGGAAAACATAGGTTAGTAGTTCCTAAATATAAAATGTAAACATTTAAAGTGGAAAACACAAGTTATTTACTTTCAATATGTAGTTTTATTTTTGTGAGCGCAGCATGATGAATCCCCTCAGGTGATCTTACGCCGCACCAGTAAATACCATCGTCCTGAGAGGACACATTACTGATGGACATATTGAAGCTATGGCTGATGTTTGAGGGAGTGGATGTCCTGTTTGTTGATAAATTGTCCTCACAGGTGAAGCCTTCCCCTTTGCAGAAAAACCCGATCCACGACTTGTATTTGTCTTCTGGATAATCACATCTGATGGTGGTTTTAGCTGTGCTGTATGCAAATTGACGAAATGCTTTTGGGCATTGTTTTGCTGGGAAAAAAAAGTATTACTCACAAATGTCTTTTTCTCTGGAAAGGAAAAGCTCACATGATCCATTTATTTAGATACAGTAATCCAAACTATGGATGTGTTTTGTTGCTGTTATTTGTTCAGGGAATTAAAGTCAGACACATCATGTATGAATGTGAATAAGAAATTATTCCTTCTTACCAATTTTAAATTCTAATTCCTCGCTGTCAGCGGATGAATTCTTCGTCTGATCTTGCTTAATGATCACTCTGAGAGTGTTTTGCTCAGTTGTTGAAGCCTTAGTCATTTGACATTTTCTATTTGTGTTTTGGTCGCAGGTGAATTCAACCCATTG